ATGGAAGATATTTGCTACTTTACCTGATTTTCTTTGTACAGTTTTTCACTGTTTTAGAACCTGTAATATTACTTTCAATAAGTAATTTATTTTATAATTAGCAAGGCATAAAAATACAATAAAAAAAAGCCTCCACTATAGACAAGTGAAAACAAATAATCTCAAAATCAAAAAGGCAATATCAGAGTCCAAAACACATCAGTAGAAAAATCTCTATACGACAAGTAAAACCAAAATATAAATATGTGATAAAATATATAGAGCTACCACAGAAAAATATTGAATTAGTCGAACAAAGTCAAATCATTTGATGACTCCATATCCTGAAAATTGCAAAGAAGAATAAACGAGTGAACTGTTCGTTTGACATTGTAAACTGTACCTCTTCAAAATCCAAAGAATCAATAGGAATATCTTCATCAGAGCTATGCTATACTTGATCATATGACGTGGGTGCGAGTGTCAGTGGGGGCGGGCGTGGGTGCGGGTAGGTGTAGTTGTCGGTATAGGTATGGGTGTATGTGTGGGTGTGGGTGTGGGTGCGGGTGTGGGTGTGGGTGCGGGTGTCGGTGTGGGTGTGGGTGTCGGTGTGGATGATGCTCTTCCTTCCTGCACACCCACACCCCACACCCACACCCACACCCACACCCTCAGGGTGGGTGTGTGGTGTGGGTGTGGGGTGAATGTGTGTATGAGAATAAGATGCAGACCCACACCCACGCCCACACCCTTTCTTGATCAAGATTCTCAAATATCTCTTGTTAAGATCAAAAGAAGTTCGTCTAGGATACATTTATGTTTTTATTCTTGAAATAATAAGAAATATTTTTAAAATTTTCTATTTTCTTGTTATAAATATATATTCAAGATTTTTCACGGTCTTAAAGAAAACGTGAATATTTATAGATACTTGTAAATTTTAAATGAAAAAGCTTTCTAGTAGCCAAATTGATGCCAAATATTCTAATCGAATCTATCAGATTTTGAAAAACAAATTCAATTCGAATAAATAATTATCATATTATTATATGGTTGATTGATAAATGCATTAAACCCGACCATATTTATAAAATTTAGCTTATATAAATAAATAGTAATCAATATGTTTATAAGAAAAATATTCTTACAAAAGAAGGTCGAACCGTTGACTTATTTAACTTTAATCTATGAATAATATTTCAGTTAATAAAGAATATTCATCAGTTATTTATAACAATCTTGACTAATTTTACCTTTCCATGACCGATTAATTATTTGTTCAAGTTTCATTAAATATATCTATAATAGAATTATTTTATAAAATTTCAAGAAAATCTTTTCAAAATCGAATAGGATATCAAATAAATGTATTATATACTTCTTTATTTTTATTCTATTGAACAATCCTAAATTGTATTTAAGAAGACATGACATGATTTATTTGAAAAGAATAACATTTTAAGTGACGATGAATATTTTGAAAAATTCCGCTATTTTCTGTTTAACATGAGGATAATAAGCTATTTCTATTCAACAATTAAGTCGATCAGTGATTTCTATTTACATGAGAAATTTTATATATTTTAACATTGATTATTTAGAATAACATCAACAAATTTTTTACTCTTTTATTATAATAATTAATAGTTCTAAGTGTTTACGTTTGCTGTTACCTGAAATTTCCTTTTTTTCTAAAAATAAATAAACTTATATTGAAATTCCGTAATACTCTTGACGTATCATCATATTCAATTAAAATTTTTCTTTCATCACATAATAAAACTAGAAAAATCTTTCTAAAATACTCCGAATATTTTAATCTTATTCTATACTTATGAATCTTTTTCATGTAGGAGAGAATATCAGATGCTTTTATAAATTACTCTCTAAAAATTGTTATTTCATATAAAATATATCTTTTTTTGTTAGAGATAATCATTGTTGAAAATTCATCTTGAATATATAACAAGGAGTATCACAGAAAAAAAAAGCTTATTTTTACAATGAGATATTGAATTTTAACTGTATTTTTTGAATAAATTTTTTCTAGTTGATCAATTTCAACAATTTTTTTACATTTCACTAATCCTTAAGTGTTCCATATTCACACAAAATTTCAGCTCTCTACCTCATGTCATAAGTTATTTATAAAAGACATATTGTGACAAAATGTCACTGTTTCGATGACATACACGAAGAAAAGAGAGTTTTATGGATACAATAAAATAGAAGAAAAGACTAACAATAGGCTAGTTTGTAGATCATTCGATGTTCTATCAAAATAGGTTGTTTGTCTAAATTTTATTCATTTCTCTCCTGTTCACCTAACGTTCATGTTGTTTGACAGACACTTGTACGTTATTGTGTAGAGTGACGAAAACACAACTCTAATCTCACTTGAGCATAGAACTAACGATCTTCAGACCATATAAGGGTGTGTGTGATTCAGGGACCCAGTGTTCCACGCATATAAGATTTATTCACATCCACACATACCACACATCCGCACCCACACTCACACCCACACCCCAACATAGCATACAATATCCTATAAAAAATCATAAAGAAAATATTTATCACTGAATAAAAACATCTATTCCCGATTAATTGAAATAGCTGTATTATTTTTTTTATTATTAGCAATTAAAACCCCACGACCATGTCGGTTCTAAAGGGACAGTGTAGCTTTTACAATTAACAGGTTACACATAAGAGAGAAAAGCAAGCATAAGCAGAGCAAAGAAAGATAAGAGCGGAATATTATGCATATCTTAAGTGGCCATTCAACGAAACATTGAAACACGACCTTCCAACGTGCACATACATTCCACCGAGATAACATAGATTTTTGTGTAGACATATTGCTTGTACAATAAGACCATAGCCAGTAGGCTTATACAACATGATTAAACAGTGTGCTTTGTTCGGGAAGGAGGAATCGAACCTCATACGCTCTGAATCCAAGTCAGAGATGTAGCCCATTCAACCAGGGCTCCCCGCGAAATAGCTGTATTCACTAGACGATACTGCTGAGAAAGTATATTGTACATATATGATTATGTAATACACAAAAATTCAATTATGAACAGTAAATTATCATCTGAATAAAATATTAGGTTCCATCATAAGAAATCTGAGATAGTCTGAATATTTTGCAATAAACCATATCAAGCAATGTTCATTCATACTAAAGCAAAACATTTGAAACGATTTAGAATATACTGCGTCTTCGAAAGCAGAAAGATTAGAACCTATTCTAGTTTATATGTAACAATATTGTGTCTACTTCTAGTGGTGCAGTCTTAAAATAGCATTTCTCTCGTAATTTTATTCAAAAGTACGCTGATTATATATTAACAACTTGAGAAAATTTCTGTTTTTTTATTTGTTCTGAAAAGACACATACAAAACAAAAAGTGCCACAAAAGTTCTGGTTCAACAATAGAAAGAATAAAGACAGCGTAATTTTCTATGAATCTACATTTTAAATGTAAGGGTTGAAATGTATCGACCTTTTTTTTGTTTATTGCATGCTGATGGTGTAAGAAGGAGTTTATGTAATCATTTTTCTCGTGCAAATAATTCGATTTCAACTTTTCCAATATACAGATTCAAAAGATTCTGAAGTCACAGTGAATTTTTATTCATGTTGCTTCTTATAGTTTCAAGATGATATTAGCAATCTATTTATGCCTTATTTTTCTTGTCTTAAAGGCCAAAAAATCCATTAAATATCCAAAAAGGAAATGACAAAAATCTCTTCAGTTGATTACATCATTTTTTCCCTAATAATTGTAACGAATAAATTGGTTGTTTAACTTTCGATTTTAATTTCTTTTCTGTAAAAAATTTTTTACTGAATATTACTTGGTGAACGTCATCATAATGTTATTCTTTCCAACTTTCTGTTACTTTCATCTACGCAATTTGCGATAAATGAAGTAATAGAAATATTGATTTAGCGAGATATTCCTATCAAATTTCATTCTAAAAACTTCAAACATATAAACAAGACGCGCAACTAGCGCCTATTTTTCATTTATTTCGCTAAAGTATCTGAATTGGTCATCCATTGATACTTGAAATTTCTAACTGAGACATTTGATGACTACTTATTTCCTCTCCAGATCGAAAATACGTATTTTTCTCCTTTTTCTTTTCTATTTAATTGCTTTACTTGGCTAATGTGTTTTCTTGCTTTTTTTTGCCGTGGTAACTCTTTGTATTATTATAGCTTCTCATTAGTATATTTTTTTTTTATTATGAACAAGGTGGTGCAGAACGACAGCATTTAGCGCGACGAATGGGAATTTTTTCTCCGTTCTTTCTTTATTTTTTTTACATTCTTGACGTACGCATACAACCTAACAGCATTTGTTAGTTGTCAGCGAAACGCAGTAGGAAAATGTTATAATTAATCGATTGATGAACATATTTCATTCGATAAAAGAATTGTTTCTACTTCTTCGTAGAGGTTTCCTTGGATATAGAATTTCAAATGTCTTCTATATTGAAAGAGCCTTCATACGGTATTGCACAGTCAAACGAAATTCCAATGCCACCTCTACAAATAATCGGTATGTCACATTCGCTATAATATTTCTTTTTCATCATTCGATGATGAAAAAAACTCGCATGTGAGTAAATAACATATTTGTAACAATTTCTTTTTCAATCTACTACCTAATATTTGTGTTTACAACATTTATTCATCACTAAATTCAATATGATTACTTTGTTAGTGATAAATTATTAAATATTTCTTCTCTTTATCGATTTTATATACTTCTATGTTGATTGTTCTAATAATTGGTATATTGATAAACATGTCTTAGAACATTTAGAGTCTGACATTGTTCATCTTTATCTATCTTTACTCCGGATATTCATTTGACAAATTCACGAAGATCATTAATAATCGTTATCATTAATATAATTAATATTCAATTTTATTGGAATTCTTGACGGAAATATAGTATAGAGTTTTGAAGAGACTAGATATTTGTTCATTTTTTTAGATAATGTCTACACGCAAGAAGAGAAATATTTCTCATGAAACAAAACACAAATTAGCAATTGATTTAACAAACAAGAACAAGGATTTAAAACTATTTCCTCATCCATTTTATGAAGGTCATTATGGTGTAGGTTGTCAACCAAAAACTTTAATAGAATTAAATATGATACGTTTGAGTGGTATTATTCGTTCAAAACCAAAATGGTATGAAAAAATGAATAATAGAACAATACGAAATAAATGGAAAAAAGAAACTTTAGAACAAAATTCACTTACAGTTAAACAAATTGATTATGTATTAGATGAATTAGAATATTATAATTCAATACGAGATGGAACTATGGAAATGTCTTCTGTTGATGGTGTATGGCAATCTGATGAATTAATACCAAATCATATCAAAGAATCATTAATTACATATGTATACAAATTGGAAAATATACCAGAAAATGAAAAAGATTGGCATCCTGGTACAAATAAACAAATATTAGATTTAGTTCATCCATCATTATTTTGTTATGTTCATCGGATGACAAGAATTATTAATGATAAGAATCGTATTATCAATCTAGATAATGCTTTAGAACATATTAGTGATGGAGAAATTATTGATATTAATGCAAATGAGTTATTTTCGAAAAATAAACGACAAAAAACATTAACTAATTATGCTCGATCGAATGAATTTCAATGGTTACCAACTGAATTTAATATTTCAAATGATGGTCAAGTTAAAATTGAATCATATATCAATAATCTACATCCAATTGAACATAAAGATCTATATAAATTAATTGAACAAATATTTCAACGTTTAATACCTTTATTTAATAAAGTTTTAACTGATTTAATTGATAATAAAAATAAACCAAATCGAATCATTGTTGATCCCTATGGATGGTATAAGGATTCTAGTCCACTTTATGATGATGAGGAAGAAGAAGATACTAGACCTGTTATATTACCTGATGTTGAAAAATTTCAAATGTCATCATTAACATCATCAACAAGTTCAAATATTGATTTACGTGGACGAAAATTACAAGTAATTGTTAAATTAGCTAATATTGTATTAACACCAGATAATCCAATATATCCTGGAGGTGTATGGCATGTTGAAGGAATGGAAAATGAACATATTGTTGCAACAGGAATTTTTTATTATTCAAATTCGAATATTACACAATCAGATTTACAATTTCGAACAGTCATCAAAGAACCAGATTATCCACAAAATGATGAGCGTGGTGTACAAACTGTTTATGGTTTAAATGATGAAGAACCACTAAATCAAATGTTAGGTGAAATAATTACACAAGAAAATCGTTGTATTGTATTTCCGAATATTTATCAACATCGTGTTGCACCATTTCAATTAAAAGATCCAACTAAACCAGGTTATCGTAAAATCTTAGTATTCTTTTTAGTTGATCCATCTATTCGTATATTATCTACTGCTAATGTTCCACCACAACAATCTCATTGGTTGATTAATATTATACGTTCAATACCACCATTTAATAAATTAACATCCATAATTGTAGATAAAATTATAAATTATATTGATTTTCCAATGAATATGAATCAAGCAAAACAATATCGTGAAAAATTAATGAATGAAAGAAAATATTTTATTTCACAAAATAATGAATTACTATTTGAAAGACCATTTTCATTATGTGAACATTAAAATAACCGTTTTTTTATGTTAATCGCATGTACTATTTAACTTTGTATAAATGTTCATGTCTAAGTTTTTCAGTTATCCTAAATTTGTAGTGTTAAATCAATATATAATTAACAATACATTTTTTATTCATTGTAGCATTGACAAAAATAAAATCTAACACTACAAATTGAAAAACATGTTTAATACCGATAGAAATATACTAATTGTTCGATCAATTCATAGTCAACAATATGTAATACAATAGGAATCTGCTGTAGGAATGCTGAATGGTGGTGGTTTCACAATATCGTTTCTCGCATAATTAAATTGTAACACGTTGTTTGTCTATTCATTGTCAATATATCTCTTCTTCTTCTTCTTCTTTCTATTTGATGAAATGGCAAGCACCGAACTTCCAAATACTATATCCATCTCTTCTAAACTTCTGCCTTTTGTTTCTGGATAGAACAGAAATATCAATACGGCCATACTAATACATAAAATACCGAAAATAAGATAGGTTTCATATGTAATATTTTCTAGAAACACAGATACGACAAAAAAATGACACAGTTAGCTGCCCTAATAGCGGCTATAGTTAATGATGTTCCTTTAGCGGGTGTGGGTGTGGGTGTAGGTGTGGGGTGTGGGTCTGGGTGTATGTGTGGGGTGTGGGTCTGGGTGTAGGTGTGGGTGGGTGGGGGTGTGGGTGTGGGTGTGGGTGGGTGTGAGTCTGGGTGTGGGTGTGAGTGTAGGTGTGGGTATGGGGTGTGGATGTGGGTGTGGGTGTGGGTGTGGATGTGGGTGTCTGTGTGGGTTTGGGTATCGGTGTGGGTAAAGACAAGATGAACAGTGGCTCCGACACCCATCCACCCACACCCACTTATAGCCACACTCACACCGACAGTCAGCCGCACACACACGTAGACCCACGCCCACTCACCAGAGATGCAGAATCTTCCAAAAAATCAAAAATTTCCCTCCCCACGGAAATTTTCTCCAAAAAATTTCCCCAAAGCTGCATACTAGTAATGCAAAAAACTCAAAAGAATAAATTGTATCCTGTAACAGTTAATTATGACGAGAACAAGGTTCTCCCTTCTAATAGGTTTTTTTAAAAAATTTCCCCGTCTGACAATTTCTCAGGCTGGGGGAAATTTTGGAAAATTCTCGGACTAGGAAAATTTTGGAAAATTGTCACTAATAATTTTCTAAAATTTCCCCAATCTGACAATTTTCCAAAATTTCCCCGAGTAATGCAATTTTTCAAAAAATTTCCCTCCCCGCGCGGGGGCGCACGAGGAAGTTTCTGCACCTCTGCCACTCACACCCCACACCCACATCCACACCACATTCTAAGCAATGAATGGTAGGTCTAACGAGGTGCTTCTTTTATAGCGATTCCTAATAAACATACAAAGGAAAACTTAAGATCATCAACTGTTTTTTTTTCTACAACCAAACAAAACGATGAGATTCCAATGTACTGTTCAATGCTCAAACGATAGAAAACTTGTAGGTAACTGATTTTGGAGATCAGCAGCAACATTTGGTTGCTTTTCAACTTCTTCACGATTATGTTTCAATGAAGAATGAAAGTCGGTGTACCTACAGAATAGAATTGTTTGACGAGAAAATGAGCAACAGTTACAGATTAAAGTAATTTGATACTGCCAATTTCTAGAAATGAGGTAACAAGAAAGACGAAACAAGTGTTTTCGGCACAGTCGTGAATAATGAAATAATGGCTACAGCTACAATGCGGACACTTTTTTTAACCAATTAAGGTAAAATGTCCGCAAAGCAGAATCAGGGGGTATAGACAAAAATGACCGCATTTTGAAAATTGTCCGCAAAGTAGAATCGAGGCAGAGAATGAAAATGTCCACATTATAGAATCAAGAAAAAATTTATTATGTGAAGAAAGAGAAAGATACAAGTAGTACGAGATGATTCAACATTCAACTATGCTTTGGTTTATAATCTTCGTCATCTTTGTCAGATGTATCCAATATGTGAATGTATCGGTAACAAAGAGAACGTAGTCTTTTTTTATAATCATCTAAATCTAGTAGACCATTTAAATAATCTTCTTTTGCTTGTACTAAAATATTTTCATTATTAACTGAAGTTAACCTTTTTGGACGAGTTGTTCGTTGTTGTGCGTGTTCCTGTTCTAATCGAATCATTACTGATTATCGTCGATAGAATCGATTTGTCTGTACTAATTTTCTTACTATTTCTACTTTTTTTTTGATTCTATAATGCGGACATTTTCATTCTCTGCCTCGATTCTGCTTTGCGGACAATTTTCAAAATGCGGTCATTTTTGTCTATACCCCCTGATTCTACTTTGCGGACATATTTTTCCTCCAATTAAGAAAAATCGCCCGCAATCAAGCAGACACGGAAATAATGTAGCTTGTATGTCGGTGTAATTAATTGTCTAATGATGTCTTTGTTGAGTATGAAGTAGACGAGAAAAAATGCATTATATATGTGTATAGAGGTCAAGAAGGAGAATAATCGATGTTGTTTTTTTTCTCTGTAGTTGCTCCATTCATGCATAAATATGAATGTGAAAAAAAGAGAAGAAAGACAAAAATAAGGACTCGTCACATTATCTGATCAACGAAACTATATGTTGAGAGTATGCGTTCTCGGAATGAATAAAGAAATGGGTCATGTTTGACATATGAGTCACTGTGATAATTATTCGATTCAAGACGACTTATCGAAAGCACTTGACAACACATGTAGAATTGCGTAATTGTTATCTTTCAATAGTTTTCTAGTTAAAAATTAGTTCATGAATGATACTGAAGCATAGCAGTAGAAGTATCTGAAGTTTGTTTATTACAAGTTTCAGTATATGACTTTATAGTTCATTATCAATTTTTGAAAATTAAAGACTCAATATGCACCATTACTGATCATAGAGATGCCTGTTCGAATACCGAAATTGCCAAATAAGAAAATCAAGGTTTGTATTCAGCGAAAATATCGTTTTGGACATTCGATCTTGCAAGGAATCGATTAAGATAGATATAGAACAATCGATTGTGATAAAAAAAATGTTTATGTCATAACTCGTCGCTCGTTTCTCCTTCGCAATAGTTATTTCGGCAACAAAATAAATGTAGTAATCTTTCGTAAGTGATTCTTTATATTTCAGATGAAAAAGAAATTCCAGTTTAACTTTAAAAACTGTCCCCTAACACGTTTCTAATTCCAATTTGAATTTTCATAGGAGAAAAGACTAGTCCGATTTGACTGAAATCAAAATCAATAAAATAAAATTATTCGAAGTATCTTTGCAGAAGATGTTTTTTTTTACGTTTTTTATGAAAAACTGAGATCAGATGATTAATGCGATCGAAAGTCCAAGTCAGAAAAACTCAGTAACGTCTTGAAAAATGAGAAAATAGATTCTCTTTTTTTCCTGCAATGAAAGTGTGAGGGTGTGGGTGTCGGTATGGGTGCGGGTGTGAGGGTGAATGAAAGGAAGAAGTGCACCCGCACCCCCACTCCAACCCACACCTAGGATATCAGTGATAAGAAATCATTGAACTTTTATCATCACTTACCGTTCGATAATAAATCTCGCTTGAATATACATGTATATCGTTTCTCACATCCACGTATTTAAATTTTCAGCAATTCTCTGTCAATTATTTTGTGACATATTCGAACTGTAAGCTTTTTTTATTCGCATATTCTGGTACTCTTCGAATTGTGAAGACGTCAAGCTACGAAATACAATTGCATCTCTGAAATATTCTTTTTTTCGCCAGAGATGCATCAGAAAAAACCCAACTTATTTCGTACTAGAGTAATACCTTTTCTACAATTTTGAACACACGGATGGTTCTCAGGATATGAGCTTTGAAAAATATGCAGAGCGCGTTGAAAAAACGATCGTGCTTGTGGATAATTCTCCACATGGTAATGCAATCCAGCGATATTGTTGTAAAAAGCTGCCAAGCGTGGATGATTTGAAGGAAAAGAGTTTTCTCCGATGTCGCACGCTTTTTGATAGAATATGAGTGCACTCGTATATTCTCCACATGCGTCATAAACAGTAGCAATGTTGTTATAAGTCTCGGCTAAGTCTGAATGATTTGAAGGAAGCACTTTTTGCTCGATTTTCAGTGTCTTATTGTAAAAGTCTAGTGCTTTTGTGTACTCTTTTTTACTATTATACAGTGCTCCAAGGTTACTGTAAATTGTAGCCCAACAGAAATCGTTCGAGGAAATTGACTTTTCGAAGACTTCAAGTGTCTTTTGATAATACGTCATTGCAGTTGGGTAGTCATTCATTTTTTTGTATACCATTCCCATAGCACAATAGGTAATACCTAGATCGCGATGAGTCGGAAGGAGAGACTTTTCTTGGATTTGAAGGGCCTTAGAATGAAAACCCAACGATTCTGAATACTTTTCCAAATGATAATAAACTGTACCGATATTGTGGTAAGTACGAGCTAAATCTGGATGATTTGAAGGAAGGGATATTTGGTATATTGTAAGAACTTTCTCGTAGAATACGAGAGCTTGCCGAAAGTCTCCGTTCCTTCTATGCACTACACCGATATTATCATAAGTCTTGGCCAAATCTGGACTATCTGAAGAGAGAAATTTTTGTTCAATCTTCAAAGCCTCGTTATAAAATTTCAGTGCTTCCGAGCACTGTCCCATGTTGAGATAGATTGAAGCGATGTTATTGTAGGTCGTAGCCAAATTTGGAGGATAGAGAAAGACAGAATCTCTCTCAAAGTTAAGTTTTTTATGGTAGAATTCCAGAGCCTCTAGAAATTCTCCTCTATGATGCTTGGTTATTGCCAACTGGTTGTAGAGAAGAGCAAGTGTGGTGCCATCGTGCTGAGATGTTTGTTTCAAAAGGATCTCATAGATCTCTTGGGCCTTACTGAAATATCCGATTTTGATCAGGAGTTGACCCAATCGATGCCATCCCGACCCTTCTCGAATGTCCTTGCGTACATATTCAGTAAGTTGCTTCA